CGTTCCCCGCCTCGCCCGCCCTCGACGCGGCCCCCCGCCCCCTGCGCCGCCGCCAACCCGGAAGGAGCCCGCGGCCGGACGCCCCCTCCGGGAGGGTTGCTGATGCCCACCTGAGTCCGCGACCCCTTTGAGCATGGGACGCAGCTCCGAGATGCCCTCCCACATGTTACAAATTGAGAAACTGGGGCTCTGGCCCGCGGTCGCAAAGCAAGCAAGGACCCTAACCCGCCAGACCCGAGTGGATGGTGGGTGTTTAGCCCTTCTCACCCTCTTCACGCAATCCAGTTCCCAACCACGAAGACCTGTGTCTTTTTCCAATAAAGGCGCAAGCAGTGTGTGCCATTGTGTGAGGAGCGTGTCACCTCCGTTATCTACCCTGCCTTAGTTGAGTTTTCAGATCTTTTTGAAGGTGCGAATGATTATCCCCATTTGCAGATGGGGAAAAGTGGGCTCAGGCCCTCATGGTTGCTCTGGTAGGCCTGGGCTGGCCACATAAATACCAGGTCAACTCTCCTATTTTACAGATGGAGAAGCTGGGATGTCAAACACCTAAAGCACCTGAGCATCAGTTGGCAGAGCCAGAGTTTGAACCCACCTCTAACTTAGTAAGTGATAGCTTTTAATTACGATTGGGGAAGAGCATACAAGACCCCTTGGTAAGGGTTTCAGTTTCACTATCTGTAACAAAATAAGGATTGGCTGAAAGTGGAATTTCCTTATCTGTGGACATGGATGAACTTCTGGGAAGGAGGGCTGTGCGTCCCTGAAAGATGTACACAAATGTGTGTATGCAAGTGCAATGTACGTGTGCGTGTGTGTGCTGTGTATCTCTGGGATAGGAGTATGTGTTTGGGGAAAAAAACCAGAGTTCTTCCAGAGTTCTTGTCATCAATGGAGGGGCTGGAGAGATAGCTCAGAGGCTTAAGCACTTACCTTGCAAACACAAGGGCCTGAGTTTGATCCCTGGCCCCACGTGCCATGTGGTCTCAGTCCCAGATCCCCAGATCTCCGGAACTGGCGGTGGTGGAGCACGCCTGTAATCCCAGCACTTGGGAGTCTGAGACCAGCCTTGAGCACAAGGCCAGCCTGAACTGCATAGTGATACCCTGTCTCAAACCAAAACAAAAAAGGAGACCTAGAACCCCCCAATTTCCCAACATAGTCTCTAAGCTGACTGTCCTGCCTTGGTGTGTGGGAGGCAGCCTTGGGCAAGAGACCCTTTGCCCACCTCAGGGCTGAAAGGAGCCCTAGTCCTCCTGTGGTGGAGTCCTAGTCCACGTCTAGGACTCTGGGGGGAAAATGCTGGAAACCCTCCCACAGAAGGGATTTGTTAGCCCTATTCAGACTTCTAGGGCTGCATCTCCTGAACCAACAGAGTAGGAGCACCAGGTCCGGGCCTGGGGAAACAGCAGTGGGCACAATTGCAGGAGGCTGATGTGTCTCCCAGGGGAATAGGAGTAAGGACTGGGTTCAAACGCTTCCTCTGATAGGTTGGACAAGTCTTGTCCTCTGAGGGTCAGTTCTCTTTCAAAGGTGGACAGTTACATGTTCCAGATGGGTGTGGAGTGTATGGAGATATCCCTTGCGTCGCACAGTCCCCCCAGAGCTCCCCACTTTCTTGGATGGCATCACAACTATGTGTCTTTGGGAAACTGCCTCCTTTCCTTCCATATGAGGCTGGGCTTTTATTAAGTGCCATCTCTCTGACCTTGAAGAATTGCAGCTTTGTGCTTCTCTGGTTCTTTATTTTAGCGCAGCTGGATGACTTCACCTCACCCCTGTATGACTTGTCACTCCTAAGGGGCTGTGTCCCAGCAGAATCCCAGGCCTGTCTGAAGCCCTGGTCAAGTGCTGAGGATTAAAATCCATTGTCCTAAGGGACACTTTAAAGAGATAGCAGCTGTTTAGGAAGGACAGGTATTGGACAGTGGCTTCTGTCCTTGGGGGCTCCTTGGAGGGGTGGAGGGGTATCTGGACCCCAGATGGGTGCCACAGAATGTGGAGGCACCACTGGTTCTGTTAGCCATGTGTCTGGGATGCTCCTGTAGTGAATGGCATCCATACCCCTTTTGCAATGACACTGAACTTGTAGGATCTTCAGGCAGCTACAGAAGATCCATTTCCCAGCAGGGGACCCTCTCTGTAAAATCTATTATCAAGTTTTCACACCGGACAGCGGCCTGCCCTTGCTGGCTAGGATCAGACTAGGATCCCCTGGTCTGAGATATTTATAACTCTAGTAAGATGCTGTGTCAGTGCAGCCTGGTGGTTGCAGCACAGCCTTGGAAGCCCATAGATCTGGGTGTCCATTCCAGAGTGACCACTGAGAGCTGCGTGGCCTGTTACAAAAGTCCCTTCCTCAAGTCACATTTTCATGCCTGAAAAAGCGAACTATAGAGTCTTTTTATGACTGATCCCTTGGCTTAGGAGTCCATGCCTCCTAAGGAGAGTGCAAGCTCTATCTCCCTGTGGTGTTCCCTGGGCACAGTCAACCCCCCATAAGGATTTACTCCCTGGTAGATTTTAGCCTGCTTTCTGGTCCTGTCTCCCTCAACTGGAAATGCAGAGAGTGCTGCAGGGGCCAGAGATTTGGTCACTTGAGGTTTCAGTGTTTGCTGAGACAGAGGAACAGGGCTGGCTGGCTCGAGGTCTCAGGGCCTGTCCCTGCATGTGGAGCCTCCCCCACTGGGAGCCTGGTCCCTTCCACTGCCAAGACCAGACCACAGCCGCCAGTAACGACAACAGCTTCCGTTCCGAGAGCTGACTGTGTGCCAGGCGCTGCGCTAAGCATTTTGCTTGCATTGTCTTTTGCCCTCTTCTCTGCCACCGGGAGGCAGCCTTATTGCCTCCAGGTGTGGGGCTGAGGGGCTGAGGGGCTGAGGGGGCTCAGGGGGCTCTCTCAAGGCTCAGGCTAGTGAGTGATAAGTGTCATCTTGTGTGCTGCCCACCAGGGCACACTGCCACTCTCTGACCAAGCCCTGCAGGGGCTTCTTTGGAGAACAAAGAACTTGGCTCTCTTTTGGACTCCCCCATCTGGGGGCAGAAGAGACCAGCTGCAATGCATGGACGCATAGGCAGACCTGGACACATGCACTTGGGGACACAGAGACACGCCCTGGAACTGGCCTTGGGATCTGGGAAATAGCCCCTCTGGTGCAGATTCACTGACCCGTTTCCCAGCCTAGTTCAAACAGGAAATGCTTTTCTCCTAACAAACAAACCTGGGCGACAGCCTCCTTCCCCTGTGAACTCTTTCTGGCTTCAGCTCAGGGTCTTTGTCTTCCTGCCCTACCAAGGGGTGCCCTCCTCAGCTTGGGGGGCAGGGTGTGGCCCAGGCACCTGTGATCAGTACCCATTTTATAGGTGAGGATGTAGCTTGGAGGAGTTGGGGAGCCTGGAACAGTGGCCCCCAGGGGCACAGGCCTGATGTGGGGCAAGGTCTGAGGCCATGAAAGGGAAGGGCCTAGAAGTGCAGTCTTCAAAACTGCTCAAAGGGCAGGGTGAGAGCAGAGCCTTCCAGGCTCCTTCCAGGTTAGTGAACAATGTGGGCTCTCTGTGCCTTTGGTTGAGGGGAGGGGGTTCCCTATAGCCTCTCAGCTCGGAGCCAGCAGCACCCCTCTGAGCTAGACCTAAGCAGAAGCCCCAGAGCCTGTAGCTGCCCGCTGGAATTATTTATGCTCCACGGAGCTGCCCTTCTCACCCAGCTCATTCCTTCTTTGAGAATGAGGACAGAGGCTGGAAGGGAGTGAGGGCAGGAAGGAAGCTGTCGGAAACTCATAAATTAGGGCTTTGGGAGGCCCTCTTCACCCTCCCCAGGAATCTTGAGGGGGAGAATTCTATGGCTTTTGGGGATGGCATTATCAGAAGGAAGACAGCAGAGTGACAGAGACAGAAGTAAATGAACATAGCAGCAGTGGCAGGAGCTTTTAGACTGAGGAGACCTGAATGATTTATGTCATCAAGGGTGTCCTTTCTGTGTGGCTTTGGTTTCCCCAGCTAAAAAATGATGGTCTGAGGACTTGGAGACTTTTTTTTTTGTGTAACCATTTTTTTCCTTTTTTATGTATTTCGTACAGGGTCTATAGGGTCTCACTACACAGATGAGACTCAGTGATCCTCCTTCTTTCAGCCTCCCAAGCACTGGGATTACAGGTGTGCGCCACTACACTCAGTCTCAGTTGCTGGCTCAGCGCGCCCTGGGGATGGGACCAGCACAGCACACCAGGGATCAAACCCTGGTCCCTGCATCTGCCAAAACTGGTGCTTTAATCTGGTGAGCTATCTGGCTGGCCTTGTGACCATGTTCTGTTGACTGCAAAGGAATGGAGGAATGAGTGCTCTCCTTCACTACGGATGTTCCCTTCCTCAAGTACCATTCCCCAAATCCTTCCTTTCCAGTTCCCAGCCACCCATACCTCTGACCCACCTGCCTTCTCTGGCATCCTTTACTTCTCTTTCCACATCTCTCTTCCTGCAAAAGTGAACTAATGGAACATCGTTTTTCAACACCCACTTGTCTAGTAGTGGAGGGAAGAGCTGTTGGCTCATTCATACTATAGCATGAAGGATGTTTTTGTGTTCTTTAATGATTAGAATATGGGACCTTAACAGAGATTCCTCCTCATTTAAACTTCAGTCACTGGGAATAGGCTTTCAACCTGGGGAGGGGATATTTGCTTACCAGACGCCTAAGAATATGGTGGTCAGCTATGCAGAGGTGTCCATCTCCTAGCCCTGATGAAGAGAAGCCCAGTCCCCACTGGGCATGTTTGGGTGGCAGCTCTAAGTCTCTGAGGTTAGGTGGGTCTGGAAGGAGTTAAGGGCAGGAAGAATAGCTCAGAGCCAAGACTCTAGAGCTGCTCCTCAGCTCTTCCA